AATTTTAGCAATTTTACGCCAGCAGCTAAAGCTTGAGAATAAACCAGCAACCAAATTGACAACTGTAATCTTTTTCTCAGAGTTGAATACTCGCGCGTACTGTGTGTAAAATTTCTGAAACAATGCTGTCCAAATATTACGCGGAAATTCGTAAAAATTCGTCTAACAGACACATAACTTCGTCACGGAACTTCCACTTCTGTCGTCACAATACGTTCCCGTTCCACACATTTCGTGAAACGTGAAAATAATACTCTCTTGTCCTCAACAACGAGTATATTTTATCACTGCAAGATGTCCGAGGTAACGAAGTGATATTATTCAGATATTATACGTAATTCGCGGGAATTAGTGTAACTGGTATATATCGTGGGCTTCCTTATCTACCCGCTCGGCTGTCATAATACATTCTCATTCCGCCCGGGTTCGAAGCGGCAGCGCCAACGTAAAGAGAAAGTACGAACGCGCGGGATATCAGTTTCCTTCGCCGTTCCCTTCGTTTCTTCGCCGCTTAAAATATGTTGAATAATACGGCAATACCGTTAATGCGTTCTCCTTACACTCCCTTAACACGGTTCCCTGCAATGACGTCATTCGCCACCGACACGGGACGTTTTTGTTTGTACTGCGGTAATGACTGGCACTTACTTCCTATCGCGGGCAAAACACGCGTGCGGATCTATAGCCTGGTATACGCTATTTAACAATTATATCGCCGTGTTATATCATATCGGCCGATCGATAAGCTTGCGACCAACGTCTTTGTTCTTTCGCGCCGAGAAAGCGAGACACAAAGGGAGACGCGAAAGAAGCACGGAAGAAACGCGACACAAAGGAATGGACACAATAACAGGCGGTCTTGTAATTAATGAAAAAAAAAAAAAAAAAAAAAAAAAAAATAAAGAGAAAAACAAGAAAAAGGAAGAAGAAAGAAGAAGAAGAAAAATCTGGGTTTGTACGATTTGTCAACGAAGCACCGAAAATGCAGCGAGAAAACGCGGGAAGTAATACGTCGATAACAGCTATTTTCGAGCAGCCAGACCGGGAAGAAAAAGTTGTTGATGACCTGAATAATTCAATCAATAGAGCGGTCGTCCAATAAATGAAAGAACCGTGCTCCGGAGTCCCCGCGTCGACCAATTGTTTTTCTCGTTACGAATGCCGTTATAAATAGCCGTGAAACCGCAAGTTACGTCCAATAATGAATATACATACGTACACGTATAATAATACCTGCGTACTTCGATTTCACGGCGGCTGGCCGTTAGCGCAGCTGCTCGCGCGGATGCGTCGCCGTCTGTCGAATGTTCCTTCCGTTCTCTTGCGCGTAACATCCTGGAAAGTCGTTTCCAGCCTTGGCTGGGATGTTAGAAACGAGCAGAGAAACCGGGTGTTGCCAGCGTGAGAAACTTTCGTCGAGCAGGTAGCTTTAGGTTCTATCGAGTTCTCTCTCCTCTTCTTTTTTCTTCGACGAAGGTTTCCCCGTTCCGCGGGTTCTCGCGCGGACTTTCGAAGACTTTCGACCGAACGATAAATCGAACGGCTCCTTTCAATCCCTCGCGGAAAGGCGAATTTCGTGAATTTTTTTTACGTGAGATATCAGTCCACGCATTTCGACGTATCTCGAAGCTTGTTGTTTTTTCGGCGTGATGCAACGAGTTAGAGTTTTCTCTTTTCAGTTACGGCGGACGTTAGGTCGGAAATAGGCCCTCAAGGTCGCTGGAACGAAGCCCACCGTTGCTTTCCGGGGGCGAATGCTGATCCGACTTTGGATGCCTAGAGGATCGAAATCCTCTGGATTAGTATCCATTTCCTGGATGCACGATGGCCTGGTAGAAGGCTCTCTGATAGGATTTATTTCGAAAGGCAAAGGGTGAAAGGAGCGGAGATGCGGGTGCCGAGAGAATAAGGAGGAGAGAGTAAGAGAGAGAGAGAGAGAGAGGGAGCCATCGTACATGGACGTCACGAATACGAAATACAGTATATTCCATGATCCTTTTATTATTCCATCATGGAAACACTACCACTGCCCGTACAATGTAAATTCGTCCAAGATAACAAGCTCTCGCGGTTGAACCACCATGTTAATGTATTCCTTTTGGATGTAACAAGTTCATTTAGGTTAAAAGTGAACTTTGACAGAGATTCGAAACAAATGTTTCGTACGCAGGGAAAACAGCGTGTTGTCCGTTGTTAGATCGTCGATGGATGAAAGTACGACATTTTTTGTCGAGCATGATGTGAAAGACATTTTCGTTTTTAACACGGCGATTTTGGACCATCTTTGTATATATTATGTAAAATACCAAGGAAATAGTATACATATAAATATCGAATTTTATATTATAAGATTTTATTATTTCAAATCCTAGATGCAGTAATCGTAAAGATATTATTCTTGATATTTTATTTCAGCTTATTGTCTTTGAGCGTTTGATCGTACATAATAATCTGAGATATTTAAAATATTCAGTTCACTTATATATTAGAGAACAACATGCATCTAACAAATACATGGAAAGATGAATGTATTCTTAATTCGTTACATGCTCTTTATTAACTCAAAGGATTGAAAATTGAAGATTCCATTTAATAAAATATCGAAACACTAAGTAACCTTAAGCGATGATTTATTAAAATGGAATCCCTTTAACATTTCCTATGTGTTTGAACTTGTAATTAAGTCGTGTACGTACGCGATTGCTTGAAAATCAATTGGAAACTTGCAGGGGTGAGCACAAGATCCCATTCATTGGTAAAGAGGTTCGACGGGATTTACACGGGGCCGTACTTCGATTCAAACACCCCCACGAACATCACGGCTCAGCTGGGGAGTCATGCCTACTTGCCGTGTAAAGTGCGACAGCTTGGTAATAAATCGGTAAGTCCTTCGCCCTCTAACTGTTCTCCGTTCCCTGGATATACACATACCCGCAATAGGAACGTTGCCAATTAAAACTTCGGACGTTCCTGTAACTTCCGAACGTTGCGTACAAATCTTAAGATCGGGCAGTGTTCACCGAACAAGATTGAAAGAGGCAGCGTTCGAAACGAAACGAACATTCTCGCCTCGGTCGAGACTGTGAATTCTTCAATTACGGATCCCTTAATTTCGTCCCGTTTCGACCGGCCGAGCCGAGGAAACTTCGGACCAACCACGTTATCTCGTGCCGGTACCTTGCAAAAAGCACGACCGGATACTAGCTCGCCGCGCCACCCGCAGATAAAGCGAATTTATTTGCACGCGAATACCCAGTTTTCTGCGAGGTGACGGCGAGCCGTAGCGATAACGATCCGTGCCGGTTTTCCACGAAGCCGCTGATCCCCCATCAAAAAGTCGCGTTATCGTTCCCTCCGTTTCCGTCGATATTCCGCCTGGGTCGAAACCGTCCGGTTCCCGCTATTACAATAATCGAAACGCCGGCGATAAACGAAGCCGATCCCGATACACACAATCCTTGTGGCTCTATCCGTGCCGCGATTTATGCGAAACTATAAAAGTCTAATCTGTCCGCGTTCACGGCCGTTAGAACGGATTATACGAGTCGCGTGAATTTTACGATCGCGGCCAAAAGGAAAGGGCGAGGAAAGGACGAGGAAGGGGGGGAGGAAGAAACAAAAGAGAAAGGATACCCACGCGCGGAAGTAACCCAGATTACGGTGACAGGCAGCTGATTCTTTAAAGTTGAAGTTAAAGGTTCTTCCCTTTTGGGCAACTCGTCGAGAGAGAACGCGAACGGGTGGTGAAAAAGTTCTCGCACGTGGCCCGTATCACTCGTTAGCGAAGTTTTACCCCCAGTTGCTGTGTACAACAACGGAACTTGTACGGTGAAAGAGCCAGGGCTAAGTGTCTGACGACACGCGACCCTTGTATAATCATCCGATTGCGTACTTAAGAACCGCGAATCCATATAGTCGAGCTCGCCGCCCCTACAAATTCCTCCCCCTCTTCGGTTCTTCTGATACTTATCGCGCGCAGAATTAAACGTACCCTCACCACTGGCTCTCCGACGCTGACCGTTGCGCCTCGCTGGCCAGAAAACACGATTGAAAGCGATTACTCTCGTCGGACGATTTACGGAACACGGTCGCGCCGTCGGTGACTTTGCATTTGTTTCCACGTCTTCCGTTCGTTCGAGTGGAATTCGAATTGGCGATGCATAGGATGTATCTGAGCTATAAATCAATCAGACGGAAGGCGAAATATTTGTTTTTCTCTTTTTTTCTTTTTTTTTTTTTTTTTGATGAATATCGTATGTTCGAACTTGCTTTTCTTTTTTTAGCTATTCGTTTGAAACTGCAACCCTTTGCGCGAATACACGGTGTTGCATTGGTCGTTTTCATGGATCTCTAGATAAAATAATTTATATCTCACCGTACAGTTATTTGAAGATCGTGCTCTTTCGCTTTTGAAACGTGTGTGTAGTAACTTCTATACACGTACATGCAGTATCTTTGCGAAATTCAATCTTAATAAAGACGAATCTGTTTCAATCAGTTTCGCGTAAGTACAAATCTGACGTAATTTAATTTCACTAGGAATGAAAAGATGTTTTAAAGAACAGGAGATATCGAAAGTCGGCAGTCGAAAGCTTACACACATCTGAGATCGAACTGTTTGAACGTACGTACGGTACATTCAATAAGAAAAAAAAAAAAGTTTCTTTCATCCCACTGTAATTGATCCGTCATGATGAAACCCCCATGCATAGCATTGGCAACGAAGGGAATAAAAGAGTAATCGTTCGTGGAATTGGTTCGCGCGTTGGAACGAACGACAAACTTCGCGAAGAAAGAATTTCGAGATCCATGTCGATGCAATTAAATCCATTTCGTATCCGGGGAATCGGGCGGAGTTAAGAGTTCCGTGGAAACTTTCGGAAAGGAATTCCAGAAAAGTCGTGGAAGCGATCGATGGAACGTAACGCGAAGGTGGAAGCAGGATTTACTAATTTATTGCCTTCTCCATGGAAATTAATGGCACGACAATCGTAATTGAGCCAGAGATGTAGAGAAAGAGAAAACGCGCAGAAAAAGAGGGGGAGGTGAAAGATAAAGAGAGATAGAGAGCGGTTGGTTCTCCGGGGTTTCAACGGACGCCGTTCGCCGAGATAAACGAATTCCGTCCGGTTTGGAATTTCCCGGATAACGATTACGCTTCAGGAACCGACCGAAAGATTACGGTTCACCGGTTACTGTCGACTATACTGGTTGCAAATTTCTCGCGCGCCATTCGAAACATAACCTCTCGTCGTATCGCGACGAACGAACAAAATAGCAATTACTTCACCTTACAACGTTCTTACGATCGTGAGTCGACGTTACACAGAGGTAAAACATGCTTCTGATCGGTATATTTTTTTAATCGCGCGAGTGAATTAAATCCGCTCCAAGTCCAGCATGTACTTACGAATCCGAGTCAGCTTCGCGGAATCCATGTTACGCGTTCGAAAATAAAAATATCTCAATGAGTGTACACTCGCAGTGTAACGTATTTTGTACGAAGCTGGTTCCGAATCCTAGAATATCTGTAAGTTTCGAAAAATGTTCTCCTAATGTTCCTAAGATTATATACATTATATTACGTCGCGTTAGATTAGATTGCAGAGTAAGATTCGAAATTTTCAGAAATACTCGAATACTTTATAGTTAAATGTCGACTCACAGGTTTTCTTTCAACTGACCTGAGATACAAAATCGCGTCAACTGAACGGGAACGTGGAAAATGGCGGGATCCTCTGGAACCTCGGAAGCATTCGAAAGATTCGAAACTCCGAACGTATTTGCGGGGCGCTCGATCCAACCTCCGCTCCTAATACGGTTTTCTTTCGTGTAACCGTTGTACGAATCGGACGCCACGCGAGAGAAGAAACGTCCGCAAACGCCACGTTCGACGCACGATAAATTAACCGTAGACACGGGAAGGAAGATTGATCGAGCAAGATCGGATAGTGGAGCCAGTGCCGGGCTCTTTTTCCATCTCGGGCTGGCTCGCGTATTCCGCGCTTTTTCTGCCGAGCGCTCGGCCCGGGCTTCTCCGTGCCGTATTCAAGCCACACACTGGGAGGAGCTCGCGAATTTTCCAGGAGCCAGACACGGTTGAATTTCACTTCGTCACTGGAAACATGTCTGTTGCTTTATTTCGCTTTTTGCCCGCCACGGCGCGGAAGAAACAGCCGCGCTACCCGCACCAAAAATCTAACAATAGAGCCGAGAGTTACGTATCGGAGAAGGGATTAATAATTCTCGCGATGCGACCGTGTCCGGCAAAAACCGGTCGGATTGGAGCGGTTTTTTTTCTCCCTTCTTTCCCCCCCCCCCTCGCCCACCCCCCTGCTCTGCGCGAATTGATGAAAGGAATCGTACCACCGCCGTTATTTCCCGCATCCCGATTTTCCCTTCAAGTCCGCTAATAAATATTAATCGCTCAGTCTCCGCGAAGAAGTTTGTGAAAATAGGCTGTTTGTATTGTAGAAGTTGCATTGAAGTTGCTCGCGTTAATTTACGCGAGTTTACGCTTTAAACACGCGTTTAGAATGCACGAAGTGCAAGTAGCAGGTAGATGTAATATGCAAAGGCGTCCGTAAAGAGAAGTCCGGGTAATATTGTGAAAGTTCGTTTTCAAGTTATGGCCATTTCCTTTCGTTCTTTCTTTTTTCTTTTTTTTTTCTGTTTTTGTTTTACGAACAAAATCTGCCATTTCAAGCGAGAGAAATCGTAAAAAGTGTAATAAAAAGTTTTAAAGCGTAATACACTGTAGCATGAGGGATTGTTGAGCTTGGAAACGTATAAATCGCGAGATCGTAGAACCGTGGAGGGTTTTGCCCATGTTAAAGCAGCCGAACGGATTGATATTAAATGTCAACATTTTTTTAACATTTATTGCAAAGGAGAGATTGATATCGCGTAAAGACAGCTTCTCATATCACGATATTTTAATCGACGATATATAATGTTTCGATTGCACGCGTCACATATTTGAGAAAAAAGCCAAGAGAATACCGGCTCATTTCGAACCGTAGGAATATACAAGGCGATGCTGAAGTAGGTGACCAAACTTTCAAGCCACTGTTCTAGTCACTTTAACGACGGAAAAAAGACCATAGAGACATGGCGCGAGAAAACTCTTCCTGCCCGAGTTCTAAACAAGTTTTAAACACTCTTCGTCTGTGTCAAAGTTTTGTAAGAATACTTGGCAAGTTTATAGTCGCACGTGTGTTGATATCGGTACAGTGTCGATATGAGAAAATAATCAGTATATCGATAGAGGGAATAATTCGTATAATATTATCGTCTTTCACTGAACCGGTTAAATGTCTCGCAGGAAAAATTTATTCCCTCTGAACGTGCTTCATACATGCGGTTCTATTCTTAGCTTATCTTTAAAATAAGTAGGACGTGCTTCTTCAGTTCGGTCACGTATTTCAGATGAAAAAAAAGAAAGTGCAATTTATGGTACATCCTCGTGCTTAAGTAAAAAGGTTAAATCTTTAATATCATATATCTGTGGCTTTTAATATTGAGTCTTGCTTAACAAAACTTTACTCAAGTCATCGCGTTAATGTTAAACAAGATTTAGATTAGAATGATTTGAATTAAGATTCCTACCAAACAAACACAGAATAATTTCAATTGGGATTGGCTAAGATGTGATAACACTAAAACTACCTGCGGTTAAAACAGAAAATTTCTATTAGAGACATCAACGTAAAAGAATAGATAAAAGCTTTGTAATATAATAAATTGCAACTGCAAGCTTTTTTTTTTTT